TCTCTCTCTCTCTCTCTCTCTCTCTCTCTTTCTCTCTGTCGTCTCTCGATAGTTTTTAAGTTTGGAGAAGTGAGATTCGAAAGCCACGACGAGGAGGTAAATATTGCATCCCGAATTGAGAGACAGTGAACCGCACCCGCACATAGCCCACAAAGAAACGATGAGCATCAAGGAGTGTGGTATTTGTTTTCCTTGAATAAGTGATAGTGGCATCATGGGCTATTATAGTCAATTGAGTAATGGATGTGCAATTAATCACAGCAGAAGCAGAAATAAAGGATCACAGGTGACAGACATTAGATCCCAACCATATCGGTTTTTACAGAGATCATAATCTATCAAATTTAGGAGGAGAAAACAAAAGTAGTGTGACAACCATTAGTTCCTCTCAGTATGCATTACAAATACAGGAACAGAAAATAAGCATGACCGAGGTAAACAAGACCAGTGAACATATGAACTACATGGTGTGTAGTGAAGCTCCCAATGGTTTGCACGTTTTTTTGAAACCATCATTGCTGAGGATCCCAGTTTAAAAAGGAAAACCATCAAGCAAATTAGGAATCTTCTGTATCGCAATGGCAAGCAATAGTATACAACTGTGTGGACCAGCCACCCACAGACAACTTCCACGCACCTGTTTCGAAAAAAAAAAAAAGAGGTGCATTGTAGTCACAACACTTTCGGCTGATTGTGACATGGTCAGCTGTCTTGATCCCTCTGGTCAACCAATGCGACTGGCCCTTTAGCATCCTTTGAAGACGTAGAAGGCACAATACCACGTCCAGCAGCAAACTCGTTTTCCTGTGATTGCATGGATGATGGACCCTTTTCTTCTTCGATAGGGAGAGTACGTTTTGATCCTTCAAGAGCCATTCCTAGGACAATGTTATCTTCGAAAGCAGATCTGGCAACTTGTGGCTTCACTGTCTGCACGCTCTCAGCTTCATTCTTTGCATCAATCTGTTCAGTAACAGCCTCCGGTAAAGGAGGCTTTTGGCTACCAGAATTTGGAGTTGGCCCTGATGAATCCAGGCTTTCAAGGTGTGTCGTGGATGGAGAACTGGAAGATGGTGCTACTGCCGCATCGGCTTTCATGTTCTTAGGTGAAGCATCCCCAGAATCTTCCTTCTTCTGTTGGTGCTTGTTGAGGTTGTTTGGAGCTGTGCCACCATGAGTTAGCTTGGGCTCTTGTGTTGTAGCAGTCTTACTGGTTTGGTTTTCATTTGCACGTGATGTTGAACGAGACTTTACTTTGTCATCATCATTGATTCTTGATTGAGAATCGACCAAAAGAAATGGACGACTAGATGCTGCAGAATGTCTGAAAACACTCTCTGCGAAAAGACTATTTTCTATGTCAGGATCACCATACATCTTCTGGACTGTACGGATAGGAGTTGCAAGTCTAGCTCTGTGATGGCTGATGACTTTGAGTAGATCTAACATAACAGCTTCCTGTTTGTATTCCAACAGCCATCATTTTCTTAGCATTATGTCTTGTTAAGCCATAAATAGAAAACTAACATTATGAGAAAAAACACTGTGTCCATCAGCAGCCAAAAGCAAAATAAGATGTTAAATAATAAGAACTTGATTATCCTGAATATGTGATGCCAGGAAATGAAGACTAGGATAAACCAATAGTGTGGAAGACAAAATGAAAGGTGTAAAGAATGGATGTCCAACATAACTGCTTACATTCACCAAGTGGCTGGACTGTGCAACTAAAGTTGGCTAACCAAAAAATTATCCCAGTATCTGTAAATTTAGACGAGGCTCGAGTTTTGAACATTTAGTTGTTTGGAACTTTGGATCGCAGTCAGATTTTAATTAAGTCAGTTCTTTGTATTGTTTTTTGTTAAACTAAGTTTTTGCCAATAAAGGCTGAACTCATTTACTCAAATTTCTTACCACATCTCACTTGCACCCTAATGCGCTATCTCCTCCCTCCTAATCACTGCATTAACCTCTCACCCACTGTGATAACCCCCTCATGCAATCTCCCAGTCATGCCCCTACATCTGGCTTACCAACTTTGTTGATTGATCCACATTTACAACCCTCTGATCCATTCTTGTCTCCAACAAAAATAATCAAGTATGGAAGGCTAGTCCACTGTATTGCTTGCAGCAGTCTTATTGCACCTGCCACACCATCTCTCGATAATCCAGGAATTCTAGTTTCATCATCTCTCTCTAATACACAGAACAAATCCTTTCTGTCATCAACTTGGTTTTATTTTCCCTTTGCAGTGTTCCTAATCCCACTTCACCTAAAATGTGAACGTCCTACCAAACCAGTTTAAATTCATAAGACTTGAATTTTGAGTTCAGGTTGGCCAGGTTACATACCGCAGGGATGAAACCATTGGTTGTGTGTGAACTATCTATCAATCCTCCAGACTGCTAATAATAACATTTCTCTTTTGAAGTGTTTAACTAGCTTAATGTGTTAAATAAATCTAAAACAAAATCATGGGCCACTTATTGTCTAGTGTGCACATCATGTTGAATCACAAAAGGTAATCCATAAATTGTGGTAAACCAAGACAAATTGGTCAACCGCTTTTGGTCGATAAAGACTAGGCACACGTTACATTTTTGTAAACAATGCTAGGGATCATCTTTAATTAATATTAATATTCATTTGTTCAAAAAGTAGGAAGAAAACAAGGCGCATGTGACATTTTTGTAAACAATGCTAGGCATTCTGATTCTTCTGGACTAAGTATCATAGATAACCAACTCAGAAATTGTTTAATGATTTTCTTTGGCAACAGCACCCATAATGCATTTTTTATGTCTCCCTACAAGACAAAACAGATTCTTCATAGTTACACAGAGTGGATACACTCGAACCTACTTCAACTAAATGCTAAGATTCTATAATAAATTCATTTAAAGAATACTTGAAAAGAAAAATAGGAACTCTTAACTGCATAGTTAATACAAATACTATCCACTTACCTTTACGCAAAGATACTCTTCATGATATGAGGTCTTAACAAAGCATGAAACAAGAATCTGCAATAGGAAGAAATGCAAAAGAATAAGAAACAAGGACACTAAGTAACGATAATATAGTGGATATGGTACAAATATACCAAGCAATACTTCTGATTTGTATCATCTGAGAATATTGAATAAAATTAAAAAAAATAAACTGTATATGTAGTTATTGTACCAATAAGATACACATTTCAATATTGGACCTTGTCAAACCAGTAAATAACTAATCAATATGTACTGATCCAAATAGTACTTCAAAACTGGGCAGAAACAACTGCTTTGATCAAAATGTTATAGTCTTCTTATTGATGTACTACTAGGAAACAAGATCAAGTGCAGCCCTACTGAAAGCTAATTATGATGAATATTCTTCTTTCCAATCTTGTGAACTTAAAAAGCACAAAAGCTTACAGAAACAAGCATAAAAAGAATAAGTAAGAAGCACTAATGTACCTACCAAAGCTCATGTTTGCTATCAGTAACTACTTCAATAAAGCAGGAACCAAAAAGTTTATCGCAACAAATTATGCAACTGGAGTAAAACAACACATAGATGATGAACTATATGTGCCTCGCCATCAAATTTTCATCTTTTGGTGATCGGCGTATGAATTTTCATATACCAGGAATATCTTTTTATTTGATGTCTAGTGTTATTTTAAATCCTTTATCATACTATTTATCATCAAACCCTAAGTATTTGCATCAATTATAGCTTTTTCTTCTCTATTTTTTATAAAATCACCTGGTAATTTTTACAAATATTTTACAATCAAAAGTCTAAGGTCTAATGTTGCTAACATGCATCCTATGGAAGTCCCCAATGGCAAAAAAAATTGTCCATCAAAAATGTGCATAACTAAATGAAGCTTACATGGTATCTTCATATATACTAACCATGAGGCCAAAATCATATAAGAAATATGTCCAGTATAGTGATTAATATGGTGATTAACAAGGATTAACTATAAAATCCTTTGCATTTAGACAAAAATTCTCATATCCAACTAAAGGAATTCCACCCCTGAGAATCTGCTGATCCAAATTTACCCCAGATTGCTATGAATCAAGTTCCATATTCCCATTTAATATGGGGATTTCACATGGTTTTGGACCAAACATCCTCAAAATCACACCTTATTGAATTCTGTAATCCAAGTTCCAAAAGAATTTACTTGGAACATTTGAAAAAATCCCAGGATATCAAATGGCTGTGCCAGTGTGCCTTCAGATACATGATGCTTCGAAAGTAAAAAAGTTTAAACATGGTGGCAAATTTTACCAGAAGAGCTTGATTTTCTGGGTCAATATTGTCTAGAAATACTCTTCTATGCAACTTCTGCTGCTCTATTTGAGGATTTTTTGCTAAAACCTTCCGCATATCTGCTACAATGTTCTGTGCATAATAAAAAATATAGAATTTTCAATGCTTGGTTAAAAACAGAAAGAAAGCCAAAGCTAGACAAAAAAAGGCTAGATGCAAATCATTGTCCAATTGCAAAGATGGCCCACACTGCTACTCACACTAATTTTATTAACGTCCAAATGGCTGATGGCAAGATGGGTCTTAATACGCCAATGTGTCTTCTTGCTGAGATTTCTCACAACACTAACTGTGAATTTGTGATTGGGAATATAAACTGCTTCACGATCTTCACCTCTTATGATAGTTGGAGACCACCAACCAACATGCTGCAACATTGTTTGGCCCAACAGCAAGTCAGACAAATCTTATGCAAGGAACTTGTTGTACAAAGTAAAAGAAGATGGTTTCCAATAAAATGCTAAAGACAAATATTATCATGTCTTTGTTCAAATAAATATATAAAAGTATTCTCTTGTGTATTAAAACAGAAATTTACTGTAAACTGATCTATTAAAACCAACCTCTACGGAACCAGAAACATCACAGCCCTCAATCTTAGTCTGAATCCATTCATTGGCAACAAATGGACGTGTTGCATGTATCATAACACTTGAAAGAAAATTCGTGAAAATCTGTGAAAACATTTTGAATCTGATTAGCAAAAACTGCACCAGTGACCAGTTTGCACTTAACAAACCTTAAGGAGAAGTTTGCAGGTCAATAATTCCTTTGCTAAAAAGGATAAATTGTGACAATACCTCACGACCAGCAAGAGTCAACAGCACTGTTCCAAGACCACCAGCAGTGATCCATTTCTGGGTGGAAAATCCCAACAACTCCATGAATAAAGAAATTGCAGCAACCCAAACTGCTGTGTAGATAGCTTTTCCAGCAAAGTGGAAACCCATCTGCACAAAATTAAAAAAAAAAGACATACGTAAACAGAAAGCCCATTAACTAATAACATAAAAACAAATTACTAGACAGACTGAAGTTGACACGATTACACAAACAAGGGCAGAAAGTGCAGAAGACATGATATCATCTTTTGATGCCATTTCATGTATTTCTGTGAAAAACCTTTAGTGTCTGTTTGGCTCCATGGTAAATTTTGAAGAAATTTGTTTTGCCTTGAAAAAAACTCTTTTCTGATGTTTGTTTGATATGAAAATTAAAAAAAAATTAAAACTATTTCTAAGATTTTCAGATGTAACCTTTTGGTTAAGGATTGTATTTTCCCAAAAATGAAAATCTCTCAAGAACCTCATGTCAGTGACTTTTCTGTAAGCTTTCCAAAAATACAGTTAACTTCCTAACGCATTCCAATTGCAAAATAATGAAAAGATAACTGGTTCCATTTCCTTTTCCTACAATCCAAGCAACTTCCAATTTTTCCCCGTGTGTTTTCTTGCAAAGAAACAGACCCACATTGAGAAATAGATAAGCACTAAAACATAAACCAAGATCTATTCTCTTTGAATAAACCAGATGCATCTAACAGTTATATAATTAACTTCTTTGAAATTAACTGTCAAAAATTTCACAATAATTCTGAAACTAATAGTACTTGCTTATCATTAAGAATGAAATCTGATAACAGCTGCTGCAGAAGGCATTTTTTTTCATAAAGCCTCATAACCTTACAGGCAATGAGATAATTTTTAGATATGAAATAAGGAAATCTTTTTTGGATCACTTTCCTTGGCAAAGCTCCACCACAAATAATAATAAAGTATTCTCCATAAAAAAATCCATTTACTAAAAAGTCGAATAAAGGATCTTAGCAGTCTGTTCAGTATAGTGCAATTGTAGTTGTTGTAAAATGTCCAGCAAATTTCTTCAGATTAACCTCAAATTTTAAAAATAATTCAAACAGATGCACTTAATGAATAGCATGACAAACATACTTTTCTTGTATCATCAGCGCCACTGTGCTCCATGAAGAATTTCTGTGACTGCTGAATGAAGCTGAGAAGAATAAACAAAATAAAACAAGTACTTATTAACAGTGTCATACATTCAGTGATATATAAAGTGTAACTGAGAAGAATAAATAAAATAAAACAAGTACTTATTAACAATGTCGTACATTTGGTGATATATAATATTAAGTGTAAGCTCTAAGAGCTAATACAGGAACAATCTTTCAAGGAAACCAAGAAGATAAAGAGAATACAGATTGATGAAAACTGAAAAAGGAATCACATAAGAGCCAGTACTAACCCACAACAAATTATATTCAATTTTCTGTTCTTCATGACCATTTTGCAAAAATATGTTTATATCATATACATCTTTTAACCTCCTAAAAAGCATGCCAAGCTACTGAAAGCTAAAAATAGTATTGATAGATGGGCACACATGAGAACAATTAAAATTGCTCATGGTCGAAAATCTAAGTTAGAATTCCCACCACTGAGTCATGGGAAGTACCAAGACAACCACAGAATATGTGGCGTCAACAAGTGAGAAATCAACAAAATGACTGCAGCAATTGTTTCTGTTTTTAAATTACTATCATCCTCACCTTGATAAACAATAGGCAACAGCCAGCACCGTTGATAAAGATCTTACAAAATTAAGAATACGTATTTTAACTGCTTGGCTCGATTCCGAGGTTAGAACTACAGGATCCAGAAACCTGTCAGTAGATTTTGTTAAAGAATGTTATTACATATAAAAGGAGCACTAAATTTACGGGACTCCACAAAAACAAGGTATCATGTATGTCAGCACACCTGCAAATAAGTATGGTTCCAGTCCAAATGAGGAGCGGCTGAATATATGAGGTTGACATATAGTATGTTTTGCTCTTTTTCCAGTTACTATCATTCTGTTGGAGCATTGAAAAAAAATATGTTATATTATGAACTCCTATAATTATAGGTAAAAACATGTAGCTGTGATGAGAACACATAAGTACTTACATAAAATAGGCTTCTCAGGTACCGCATCAGTGGCCCAAGACCCCATACAGCAAAAGCAATGATCCCAACAGCAGGGATTAAATGGTAAGAATGATGGTTTCCAAGCAACACATTGCATGACCTATGAGATAGTCAATCAACTTAATTTTATGCTTCCATCCACAGTTGTGATATTGAGCAACAAAACATTGACATGAAATTGAAAATTAAAAGCACATCAATCAGTACACAACAAGCCATCTCCAAAAGCCAGTCAGGCTTCTCATGAACTTTAGCAAAAGAGTAATATTTAATATTTACAAACTTCAGTTTTCCGTTATGCAAAGTTAATTGCATCTGGAATAGCCTAAACTATTCTAAAATCTAAAACTAGCCCAATATATTTTAGAGTCTAGAAGTAGCCTAATCTATTTTGTAAGCTACATAAATAACCTTCAAGATAATTTTCACCGATAATAGGATCTTGGCCAGACATGCACTCTTTATATTTGTCTTAGCATTTTATTTAGTAATTATTTAACAGCAATAAAGCAACAAATTCATCCCTCCAAATATATAGAGCATGGATGTCAATATCACAGTTTGGAATAACAGATGGTCCACCACATCAAATCTTCCATATATAACATCATAGATATGTCAACAAAATAATTTTTTAATCTACAATACTAGATATAATAAATCCTGATAGTTGTAACTCATGATAAAAGAAAATACTTGGAACTCAAATCCCAGAACTAGAGAAGGTCATAAGAAGAAGATAACATATCAATTGGATTATGTAACCATAGTATGCTCGAGACCAAGAACATTGAACAAAAAACTAAACTCATGCCCCTGCTGTAATATAATAGTTGAAATACTACATGTAACTTAGTGAGGATCACATGAAGGGTGAAACAAAGCTGTTGAGATAAATTATCAGAAAAATAGAGCTATTTTGTTGAGAAAGCATATAGATGGTGCAACAAAGGTGTGAGAATGAACTTTTATGCAGATTGTCCGTTAAATGAATGGCCCATGTTATTTATATTGGATTCCAATCCTCCAAACATCTTCAACAAAGAACGACCCAACTGAGTTGTCATGGACCAACAATAAGTAGCTTAGTTATGCTACTTGATAAGATGTAAGAGAACTATAAACAAATGACTAAAGCAACATTTCAACATCCTATGCAATACTAGGTAGCAAAAATCAAGATGTTCTATCATTGTCAATGAACTCGTTGAGCATTGATTAAAAATATTCTAATTTATCTGGCCGTTCCAGAATATCAGCAATGAAGTAACAAAGCAACAAAGTGACTCACTAAAACTACTAGGTGGTGAAGCACCCTGTCAGCTGACCCAGTAGCCAAGAACACGAGTCCATAATGATCCTGATCATAATTGGCCCACCACTTTCTTTAAAGGTAATCAAATGAGTATGAAGGCATACAATCAAAACTGACCAATTCTTCATTCATCGGGACAAGTGATTCAACTATGAAAGCACCTGACTCCAGGAAAGAGAAAGGAGAAAGGAAGAGAAGAGATACAATATGGACTATGGAGTATATACTAACTGCTAAAATAATTATAATTCTTTCAACGAGTAACTCTACTGGATCAAGGCCACAACTACAGCAGCATTAAGGGAACACTATGGAACAGCCATTGAGAAAAGTAAAGGAATGCAAATAGAAGTGATTCAATTTGTACTATTATAAGAGTGAAAGAGAAGAGATGCATTAATAGAGAACATCACTTCATGAGAATTCTATTTGATTCTTCTCATGTTTTGAAGAAAGGAAAAACTTTTTTGTTGTGGTATAAGCCATCGTTTGATGTACCACCCGAAACGGCATGGTACAGGCAGTATCTACCGGTCCAACGGCTGATCGGAACACGAACAGCCCTATATTGGACGGTATAGCAGTTGGGGGACATATCGAATGACACATCCTTCATACCGGGTGAAATGGTCGAAATTTGACTATTACTGACTTGT